GAAGAAATTTGTTATACACTTAACAAAGAAAAAAAAAAAAAAAAGATGGAGCTCCTAAGATAAGAAAGGTGGCTTTTTTCCCTGCTGCAGAACTTCCCCTAAGAAAACTGAGTCTTGACGACATAATTTTCTCCTTGGAGAAGTACGTCTCTGACTACCTGGGAAGAAACCCACAGAAATGCCCCGCCCCACTGACTGCTTCTGGGCCTGTGGATAGAAGAAACCAACAGCCTCTGCCCAGTAAAGCAGCAAAGCGCTCACACCACTTCTTCATCCGTTTAAGGGCTCTCCCACTGCTCTTTCACATTATAGTGTGGATCAGCAGTTCCTAAACTCCTTTGACCACCACAGATATGCTCCAAGCGAAATATCCACTCACTGAGTCTGAGGTAAGGACCAGAAGCCCTAACTTCATAAATTCAATATGATTATGATTTTTCAGAATATCAAAACATTTTCTTTGAGAGTTATTTTGCAACAGTTACTACTAAAAAGCAACAATAAGAATATTTACCATCGAGACCAGCAGGTAGCATAATGGCTATGTCACTGAACTCTCATGTAGTCGACTGAGGTTCGAGTCCCGGACCCAGTGGCTTAAACTCGTGCCGGGCGCGTGTGCATGCGTGCCCAAGATCCCAAGAGGAGAATGGAGGAGAAGGGATTGTGGCATGGACATCCCCCCTGGGGGGTGATTTCTCACTTTCTTTCTCTCTACCTCTCTCTGCCTCTCTGGCGAGCTCATGTGCCCTGTAGCAAAAACCTCTCCAAAAAAAAAAGAATATCCATCATATTACTCAAATTCTAATTTTTTGTTTAATATGCTAGAATCCAAGTAAATTCAGAGGTATCTCTTAAGGAAAAAAACCTTGCAGGAAATGGTGTTTTGACAGAAAGGGAGAAGAAAAATGTTTTTCTATGTTTTTCTTATGGGGAAATGTTTTCTATGTGGTAAACATTAATCATTGATGAAATATGACATTGTTATGCAATGTGGTCTCAGGATTTTCACTCATAAAATAACATTTTCAAGTAGCTTATCAAAGGAACTTTTTGATGGTTAGCCTATCAACAAATTGAGCTAAGGCTGCATTTCATTTCCTCAGGGAAAAAAAAAATCTTACCAAATCCATTTTCATTAGCGACTAATTTTTAGTACGGATTTCAGGTACATTTTTTAAAGCCTAGAAAGATCAAGTAAGAGCTGAGATTTAACAGATGTTGAATTCTGTGCAATATCTTAAGAATGTATTTTTGCGGGGCCAGCAGGTGGCTTGGCAGTTAAGGTGATGGACTCTCACATGGCCAACTGTAGTTCAAGTCCCCAAACTGGCAGTCTGCTTTCTCACTTTCCCTCACTTTTGCTCTCTCTCTCTCTCTCTCTCTCTCTCTCTGGTGGGCACGTGTGTCCTATAGCAAAATTAATTAATAACAGTAATTAATAAAATAAATATTTTTTAAGAGAGAAATATTTTTGCTATAGGATGAGTGCACTCACTGGAGAAACAAGGTGAGAAATCACTCCCCAGGGGGATGGGCACAACACAAGCCTTTCTCCTCCACTCTCCTCTCGGGATTTTGGGCACACGTACCCAGCGTGAGTTTCAAATCACCCTGGGTCTGGGACTCGAACCACAGTTGACTACATGGGAGTTCAGCGACATAACCATTAAGCCATCTGCTGATCCCAAAATTAAATAAACAATTCTTTAGAAAAAGATTTTAAAAGGATGCACTTTTCTTTGCTGCCCAACTATGAGTTCTGTTTGACCAAATATGGAAACTAACACCGACCAAGAAAATTTTTTTCATTCATTCAATAAGTATTTATTTAGAACCCACTATATACCGTAAGTCAATGGGCCAGACAGTCAAGACAGAGCCCTAAACCAGAGAGACACAGTCCCGACCCTCAAGCAGCTCCCAATAGAGTAGGCAAAGTAAGTATCAAATGCACAGAAGGATATCAAACTGCACCAAGAACCTTCCGAAATGAATTAAGGCATTCAAACACTGTCCCCAGCTTTCCCAACAGGATGCAAGCTCAGGACAAATGTCTAACTGAGAGAGAACTGAATGACATAGTCCTTTCTCATGTTTCTGTTTGTGCTTTAGCTGAAATGCCTGATGACGACTATAAAAACCCACGACAGGATTATTATTCTGGCTCTATCATTCATGTATGTGAAGTTGGCGTTCTCTTTTCCAAATCAAAATCCTACATTTTGATAGTTGTATCCTGACCATTCTTAACTATTTGTCACATCTACTGAATTAATCAAATATTCAAAAATTGTTGCTTTGAGACAGATAATAGTTTATGTTATTGCCAATAAACTTGCAGTAGCTAATTTAATAAAGACTTGAACATTTGCAAGTAGATTGTTTATTTTTATTCATTTTAAAATTCAGTTTCACAAAATAGAATGATAGTACTGAGTATTACTACGAACTAAGTGGGTTTTTTTAAACATAATTTTTTATCATTTATCCCCCCCTCACACACACACACACAACCCCACAAGGTAATACTGATCCTTTACACAGGTGGAGAAACTGAGGTGCCAAGCAGTTAAGAGTGTTTACCAGCACCACATAGCTAGTCAATACGAAGCCAGGAACAGAACTGTAGATTAGCAGACTAGTTAACTTATTCTTTCAAAAATCCTAAATTGAGCATAGAGCTCTCACTTTCCCCACACTCCAATTACTCACAGTGCAACATTGTAAACTGATGTTATAATACAGTTCAAGCTTTCAAACAACGTTCAACTAACTTTTTAAGGTTCTAATCTAATAAAACATCTGGAGTACAATAACACATCTGGTTAACTACTGAAATGAAATGTCAGCTCTGCAAGTAAAAGGCGAGTAAATGGAGAGTGTGTAACTATGAAGTCTTTGTTAAGGTAAGTGAACTGCAGCAAGCAGAAACCTCCCTGCCTGGCTATGTGAACCTTTCCCAAAAAGAGGGAGTATTATCTTACACTAAGTGAAGGTTGGCCTGGAAACTCCTAAAACGCTGGGTCAGGGAGAGCTTGTGTTCCCTTTTGTCCTATCTTCAAGGAAGCTGGTCCTACCACAGTCTCACCTATTCTTGGTGCCTAGGTTATCTGCTCTAAACAGATGGTCCCTGTTTTGAGAATGGAGACTAGCACAAGCATTAAGCACACACAACCGTATAAAACTCCATCACCACCACCACTTTGCAAAAAGCATCGGATGGCCCAGTAAAACATGGGTAGCTTTATAAGAGAACAGGAATGCACACTTGAAGTTTTATAGTGAAATGCATATGAACCAAACTGTTCTGCATGAACCTCCTAAAAGCTCTTCTCTTTCGTTTATCCAAGTATACAATCACAGCCAGTTGACAGCACCCAGGAAAAGCTTCCCCCCCCCCGGGGAAATGACAGATTGTAAACTGAGCTGACATCCACCCCAGTGCCTAAGTTTTCTAAGGTAGGCAGTGCTTTTAGGGGCTGTCATCCCCTGTCTTATACAGAAGCTCCACTACACAAGAAATTTGTTAAAACCATTTGCTGGGCATTAACGTGGAATCCCTTAAAAAGAAGCATGTCACTTTTGGCTTGGGAACATCATGCTTGCCATTCAGGGTCCCACTGGTTTCTTAACTCGCATATGATTAATATTGTACTCAGGAAAGAGAACTTCTTCTGACCTTGAGCGTGCGTGCTAAATAAATTACCTCAGAACGAAAGTGGTGAGATCTCAAAACAGCATCTAGGGAAAAAAGAGAAAAATGAGACTTCGGTTAACTCCTGGTTCTTCACCTGCGCAGTTACTAATGACTTAGCTGGGAGACAAGGGTCGGGAAGGCACATTCCTGACACCTCGAATTAGGTGGGAACATCCTGGGGGAAGGGGACGGGGTACTGGGCCATCAATCTCTAGATGCTTTCCCCGCGAGAAGTTTCTGGGAAAGTTCTGGGGGAGTTGGGTAGCCCCAACTCTCTATGCCTTACTTTCTTACCCCTAAGCTCCGGCATGGGATGGGTGAAGGCTAGACTGCCGCAGCCCGGACTCCGCTCGAATTACCCTTAAGGCTTCAGCAAACTGACAGTAAGAACTGGCGTCCTTTCCTCCCTCCCTGCCCTCTGCATCGCCGTGGTGGTTATCCAAACCTGAGAGATTGGAGGACCCGAGTGAGGGAATAAAAAGGGCAAGGGGCGTGAAATAAATCCACATACTCGGCTGGGGAGTGGGCAGTGATGGGGGCAGGGGCGGCAGTACAGAAGCAAGAGAGCTGCGCTTCGCTCTCCAAATCGGCTTAAATGTTCCTCCGAGCCCGAAGAAACCGTCACGGCTTGTCCTACCTCGGCTTCTTGAACGACCCGAAAAGACCGATTTCATCGGATGCCTCCCTTTCTGGAGCTTGCGGTGCCAGCAGCAGAAGAAGACGATGGTGGCGATGGTGCCCAGCAGAAGCAACAAGAGGAAGAGGGCACATTGGATGCTGTAGGGTCGCAGCAAGACGAGGAAAGCCGCGGCGATCATGGTGCGGGCGAAGCGGGGGCGACTCGGCGGCGGGGCTGGAGGGCGGCGGCACAGGCACCCGCGCGGGGCGCACGCCGGGGCGGCGGGCAC